CCAGGGAAGCACTTATTCTATTGAGCTACCTCCCCGGCCCAAAACTTCTAGTAAGTACAGGAGACAGTAAAGTGTTTGGGGAAGAGCAACTAGTGATTAGCAGGCAATCCTCTGACAAGCACACACAGAAAGAGGAAGCACTCATAGCAGTATGTATCGATTCTGGATCCTAATTGTCACCTCTAAATACATGGGTAGGATAGGCTCCCCGCACCACTCAGGTAATGGTCCTAAGAAGCAACAATAATATGCCGGTGCTAAATATATCCATCCACACACCACAGAGATTTTATTACCGGGCCATGGGTTAGGTAGAAGAATACAGAGAACAGATGATGGGTTTAATAGAAAAGAGGACCTTTTTTATGCTACAATTCCATTTGTTCAAAAATGGTTAATTTATATGGCAAAAGTATAAATTACCCCTAGGCTGGGGATATAGCTCAGTGGTTGTAGACTGCTTACCTACCATGTGCAAGGTCATGAGTTCAACCTGCACGAGTACAAAAAGACAAAAATAAACCTACTCTGGGTAGGCCAAATAGCTCAGTGGATTAAAGCACCTACAAGCAGGCATAGGGGTTGGGAGTTTGATCCCCAGGCCTGCTGTGCTGGCCCCACCTCTGGGGCACACTGAGATGGCAACTGAGACTGGGCATGGTAGCACGCACCTACAATCCCAGCTCTTGGGAAGTTGTTAACAGCTGGATCACTACCAAGTCCAATCTAGTAGAGAGACCCTGAACACACTGTAGACCATTCCCCCCACCAAAAAAACCCCTAAAAAACCCCAAAGCTATCTTGAAAGTTCCTAAAAAAATAATTTTAGATTGAACTGTCACTCAATGCATAACCTGTTTTCCTCCAGCAGTGATGCGATCTCCAGCTAAGATGGAGCAGTCGCATCATAACAGAGCTATGTGAGGTCTGGGAACAATTAAGGGGCACCAATTTTTCAGGTTTCCAACCTAAATCTTGTTTCCTAAGCCCATCTTTGCTTAAAATAGTAGAATAAATTACATACATTGTTCAAATGGTTGCATTTTCTCATTCCCTAGTTTTTTTTTTCATTCCCTAGTTTTTGCCTAGTGCATTTAATTTGCACAAGTCATGAAATAACTTTTTAGAACTTCAAATATCCAAATATTAACCATCAGTAAGCTAACACGTAGAGTATTACTTTCACTAAAAATCCAGTATTTTGACATAAATAAAATTCATAAGACAAAAAGAATGAGTTTACAAACCTTTTTCCTTTCATCAAAGTAGCTTCAGTTTCTGTTTCATCATCACCATTAGGTTTATCTTGAGAAGTTATTACTTTTGTTTTCTCACTTTCTACTACTTTTACTGCTGCCTTAAAAAGTAGTGTATGCAGATAGGAGAGAGAGAAAAGAATGCATTAAGCCAGTTTAAATGAAGATCGCTAAAGTAAATCTTTTGTTTACTGGACGTCATAGCCAAAGTATCTGTTCACCAGTCAATAAAGAGTGTCATGTTATTTTTCATCAGCAATTTTAACAGTGCTGGTAACTACTTCAGTTACCTACTTGGTTTAAAGAACTATAGCGATCTTTCCTAATAGACTTAATAGACACAGTGATGTACAGGCAATTTTAAGAAAAAAAAGATACTTTAAAAATTAAAATTTCAGACATTCCAAAATAAACCACCTTTAATTATGATTTTTTTTTTTGCAGAACCAGGGATTGAACTCAGGCCCTTGCGCTTGCCAGGGAAGCGCTTAATCCACTGACCACCTTTAATTATGATGTTGCACTATAATAACACATTAACTTTTTGAGGCCGAGGCAGAAAAAAAAGTTTTATTTAAAAAAACTTTAAGGGGGCTGGAGAGATGGCTCAGTGGTCTAAAGCAGCTACTTGGAACAAGCTTGGCAAAGCACAAGGACCGCGGTTCGATCCTTCAGCACCACATGCCAGCCAGCCTCGCCCCCTGGTGGGCTGAGCTGGCCACACACACACACACACAATAAATAAATGTAATAAATAAATAAATAATTAAAAAAAATAAAATAAAAAAATAAAAAAACTTTAAAGTAGGCATGGTGACAGGTCTGTAACCTAGAATTCTGAGGGGCAGATGCATGAAGACTGACTGCAAGTTAGACTGACCAGGGGGAGCCTGTCTCAAAACAAAAATTAAAAAAGGGGGAATGTTAAAAAAGAGGAATATAGATCCTTTGGTTCATGAGCGTGATGACTGGGTGTTCATGCCTTATACATGAGATGTGCCTCCCTCAAACCTTGTTACGATGTGGGCATATTACACGTCTGATGTTAAAAAAAAGAAAAAGAAAAAGAAAAAAGAAAAACAGAAGAGGAATGTAGCTTAGTTGTGAAGGCCTAAAATGAATCCTATGCACTGCCAATAAAGGCTGGGGACATAGCTCAGGGATGGAGCACTTGCTTGTCATATACAAGGCTCTGGGCACAATTCCTGATACTGGAAAAACTAAAAAAAACAAGGGGAAAAAATATCCTTCCTGCACTCACCTTTGTTTTTCCTAAAAATATTAAAAATTTTAGAGCTGGGGTAGCTCAGTTGTCTAAAGTGCCTGTTTGGCAAGTTTAGGTAGGTGCAAGGGAAGACCCTGAGCTGAGCCAGCCAAAAAAAAAAAAAAAAATTTATTGAAAATTCACTTAACACTAAAAATTAATTTTCAATTATTTAATTTATCCTCAATTTCCCTCCTAAGTTTTTAGTCTGAAATTTCCCCAACTCATATTCTTAAAAAAAAAAAAAAAATCACAGGACCAGGTATAACTCAGAGTAGTGCCTGTCATGTGAGAAACCTCAGGCTGTTAAAAAATAAAAGGTAACAAAAATACTATACAAATCACCTACTGACCTTTATGCTTACTAATTTTTATTTTCTGTTCTTCTATAAAACCAGTATGTAAAATCTTGATTAATTTTTGTTTTTGTTTTTTTTTTTTGTGGAACCGGGGATTGAACTCAGGTCCTTGAGCTTGCCAGGGAAGTGCGTATTCCACTGAGCCATCTCCCCAGCCCCTAATTTTGGATATTTTTTATTTTAAATATTCTCTTTTATTAATGTCCAGGTTAGATTTCTTGAAATAGTATACCTTCATTAGAAAAGCTGATGATTTTTCACTTAGCACACAATTCACGTAAATCCTAACTTTCTCCATCATGTGATTGTAGCTAAAATGTTGAAAAAAGGAGTGATACGGATCTTTCTGAGAGATTATCATAAGCAATTTCCTCTCCAACGTCTAAAGAAAACAGGAGAAACAAATTAGTGTAAATTATACAAATAAAATTCAAATAAAAAATCTGTCATTATTTAACTGAAAATAATCACATTATTAATAAGTTCAGAAACAATTAAGAATATAAAACTGTTTTATTTATTTTTTTTTAATTTTATTTATTTATTTGTGTGTGCGTGTGTGTGTGGCCAGCTCAGCCCACTAGGGGGCGGGGCGGGCTGGCATGTGGTGCTAGGGGATTGAACCACGGTCCCTGTGCTTTGCTAAGCTTCTTCTAAGTAGGTGCTTTACACCACTGAGCCATCTCACCAGCCCTTATAAAACTGTTTTAAATGACCAGCCAATCTATATTTTTATGGTCCCCCATCTCCTGTGACCACTTGTTTCTGAATGTTTGATATTTAAAGACATACCCAAGAGGATAAAAACAGTACTGTGGAGCTGGCTACAATGTAGCTTAGTGGTATTGCACTTGCCTAGCAAGCAGGAGGGTTTAAGTAATTCCAGCAATAGCACACACAAAAATGACCCAAACCAAACTAAACTAAACCAAATCAAAATATTTATTGTCCATTGCTCAATTTAAAAATAAAAAAATTAAGGGTCAGTGAGATAGCTCAGTGAACTATGAGCCTGCTTAGGCAAGTGAAGGGATCAGAGTTTATCCGATCCCAGCACCACATGCTGTGCAGGCCTTGCCACCAGGCGCAGGCCTCACCACTAGGTGCGATGAGCTGGCCACGAAGACCTGGTATGGGGGTGCATGCATATAATACCAGCGCTGGGGAGGCTGGTAACAGGAGGCTCATTATGAACTGTGCAGTTAGACCCAGTACAGTACTAAATATATTTTTTAAAATAAATAAATGAATAAATAAATATTATTGCCAGGTGTGGTGAAACATGCCTGTAATCCTAGTACTTGAGAGTCTGAGGCAGGAGGACCACTGTCTCTGTGAGGCCACCCTGCGCTACATAGTGACTCCAAGCCAACCTGAACTACTATCAAGACCCTGTCTCAAAACAAAAGATAGCCAAGGAGATGACTCAGTAGGATAAGCGCTTGACTGGCAAACGCAAGGATCTGAGTTCAATCCCCGGTTCTGCAAAAAAAAAAAAAAAAAAAAGATAACAGGGGGCCGGGGCAATGGCTCAGTGGAGTAAGTGCTTCCCTGCCAAGCGCAAGGGCCTTTGTTCAATCCCCGGTTCTGCAAAAAAAAAGAAAACAAAACAAAACAATAAAAATTTTTAAAAAACCAAACCATTATCCATATGGTTAAAGTCCCTGTTTACTAAAATAATCCAACTGTATTCCATTTCTCTTCCCTTCCCTCTAACCATTACCCTGACTGTAGAATTTCCTTTATGCTTGCACTTCAAATGCATGTATCCATAAATATATAGCACTGTTTAGCATGGCTCTAAGATGATTTCCTATTATCGCCTTTCACAGTCTAAGATTTTCTTGGAGAGTTCAATCAGTGCTGACTATCATATATATTCTACCTCATCCTCCATCTCGGGGAGTGTTAGGGATTGAATCTAGGACCCTTCTACTGAGCTACATCTTCAGCCCTTTTACCTTTTGAGAAAAGATCTTACTAAGTTAGTAAGTTGCCCAGTGTGGACTCAAACTTGTGAAACTCTTGGGTTAGCTTCCTAGAGTACTGGGTCACAGGCCATGTGTCACTATGCTTGGTAAAAACTATAGAACTTATAAAGCCTGGGTTTGATACCAGACCCACTGTTTGAATGAAACCTGGGTTTTTTATTTTGTATTTAAAGCCTCTATGGTTTTAAAAATGTGTAATTAAAAAAAGCAAAGACAGGCATGTTACTGGAAGTGGAATTGGCTAGAATACATGGTTGTAGACTTTGTTAAAAGTTTCCAAAGTTCGGGGCCGGGGAGATGGCTCAGTAGGATAAGCGCTTGACTGGCAAAATGCAAGGATCTCAGTTCAATCCCCGGTTCCGCCAAAAAAACCCAAAAAATAAACAAAAAAGTTTCCAAAGTTCATCTTCAAATTCACATAGTGAAAGAAAAGCCAATTACCCCCCCAAAAAAATCAAATACACCAAATTTACACTATAGGAATTGAACTTATGGCAGTCTAATCATTTCTCCAATTTTTGAATACTGTTCTAAGACTTCTTTTTAAATTTAATTTTTAAGGGCCGACCAGATAGCTCAGTGGACTAAAGGACTTGCTAAGGCACACACAGACTGGGTTTGATCTCCAGTGTGCTGCGCCAGCCATGCCTACGGGGCACACTGAGACAGGGATTGAGACTGGGTGTGGTGGCGTGCACCTGTGATTTTAGTGCTTGAGAGGCTGCAGACAGGAGGAGCACTATGAATCTGATCTGTGTAGTGAGACCCTGTACTAAATAGATTTTTAAAAACTGAAACAAAATTTTACATATAAAAAAAATACAAAATAACAAAAAATTTGAAATGGTAAAAAATTTCACTTAAATATAAAGAATTTGACAATATTTGTTATATTGCACAGTAGTGTCTTCAGATCAGTTAAGCTACATGTATGCAAAATTTGGGGGGAGTTATAACTAATAAAGAAAAAATAATTAAGCATTAACTGCTCCTTTCCACAGACCAGCAAAAATCCAAAGTACAACTATCCAAAGCATCCTTATATACACAGATATCTGTCCTTCTACTGTCCTCATTTCAGTAATTCCTTCCCTTTGAACAGATTCATTCCTTTTTCACTGTATTTATCATTCCTTTTACTCTTTCAGGATCTTATACTAGTAACATAACGGGACATTTGCACATGTGAGTCTGATTTATTTAACTTCAAGGTATGGTTTCTAGCTGCATCCACTTACCATTAAAAAGTCTCCAATTTATCCTTTTTTATAGCTGAGAAATACTCCATTGTGTAAAAATAACACATCTCTTTTATCTACTCAGTTGATAGGCATTTGGGTTGTTTCCAAGATTACCTATGACAATTGCACTGCTATAAAAATGGGTGCACATACATCGCTGTAATGTTTTCAATTCATTTGGAAAAATATCAAGAAGGGAAATAGCTGGGTTGAACGGGACCTTCAATCCTAGTTTTTTGAGAAAACTCCACACTGATTTCCAGAGTGGTTGTACCAGCCTATTCTCCCACCAGCAGTGGGAGGGTTCCCCACAGCCCCACCAGCCATTTGTTATTGGTTAAATTCTTTTTTTTTTTTGGCGGGACTGGGGATTGAACTCAGGCCCTTGTGCTTGCCAGGGAAGTGCTTTTCCACTGAGCCATCTCCCCGGCCCCTGGTTAAGTTCTTGATGATAGCCATTCTTTCTAGGATGAGATAGATTCTCAGTGTTTTAATTTGCATTTCTCAAAATACCAATGATGTTAAACATTTTTTCATGTATTAATTTGCCATTTGTATTTCCTCCTCTGACAAGTATATACTCATCTCAGATGCCCATTTTTGTATTGGATCTTTTTTTTTTTAATTTAATTTTATTTATGTGGGGGGGGTGTGGGTGTGGGCAGCTCAGCCCACCAGGGGGCGGGGCTGGCTGGCATGTGGTGCTGGGGGATTGAACCGCGGTCCCTGTGCTTTGCTAAGCTTGTTCTAAGTAGGTGCTTTAGACCACTGAGCCATCTCACCAGCCCCAGTATTGGATCTTTGAACTTGTGAGGCCTGATTTTCTTTTTTTTTAATTCTTTGTATGTTCTAGATAGAAGACTTCTATCAGAGGAACACTGGCTATAATTCCATCTCAGTTCCTGGGTTATCTTTTCACTCTTGCTAATTTCATTTGACATGCAGATGCTTTTCTAAAGGATGAAATCCCAGCTGTTGATTCTTTTTAAGTATTTCCCATGTGGTCTGGCTTCTGTTGAAGAACTCTCTACTTACCCCTATGTCTTTAAGATTTATATATATCTTTTTCTCCAGATGAAACAGATTCAGCTTCTGTTTTAATATTTAAGTCTTTGATCCATTTTGACTATAGTTTAATGCATGGTGATAGACATGGGTCTAATTTTAGTCTTTCGCCTGTGGAAAACCAGTTTTTCCAGCATCATTTATAAAACAGGCTATTTTTTTTTTTCAGTGAATGTGTTTGGCCCCATTATGAAAAATTAAGTGGTTGAGTGTTTTGTGTTTGTAGCTGTGTCTGCATCTTCTAATCTCTTCCATTGATCCTCAATTTTGTTTTGCTTTTTGCCAGTACCATGCTGATTTTATAACAGTAGATTTATAATTTAATTTCAAGTCAGAGCTTGTGATGTCTTCAGTCTTCCTTTAGTTGCCCAGGATTTCTTTTGTGATTCTGGGTGGGTCTCTTCAGGTTCTAGATGAATTTTAGGAATCGTTCCTCTAGATCTGTGAGACATACTAAATATATTTTAGTTAGGATCACTTTAAATTTGTCTTCAAATTTTGAGTGTGGTCATTTATACAATGTTGGTTCTTCCTATCCAGGAGCAAGGAGTATCTTTCCATTTTCTCAAATCCTCTTTGATCCCTTTTCTCAGAATACTGTAATTTTCACTGTATAAACCTTTTATTTCCTTTGTGAGACTAATTCCTAAGTATTTCTCCTTTTTTTGGATATTATTGTGAAAGGCATGATTTCCCTAATTACTCTTACAGAGCTGTTGTTGTTTGGGTACAGAAATTCTACCCAAATTTTTTTTTTCATTTTATTAATGTGTTTCAAACTTTATCCCCAGGCTTCTCCAGCTTAATTGGCTGCAAAGAATGAATTGTATGTAAGCAAAAACTGAAAAGAGCTGGAGTGTCCAAGGGGCTTGGGCTTAAAAAATATTAGAGATCTAGATTTTATCAGATCCATAAACAAAAACAATTTTAAAAAGCAGTCATAATATAAAATAGCAGCTCCAGTAATTTCTTCCAAGTTTGATGTTTTTCAGAAGCTGACTTAGTTCAGTTTGCCTCATTCTTAGAAGCCTCATCAAAATTCTCCACAAGATCTGGAACCTCATCATCATCCTCTTCTCCAGTAG